CAACTAGAATAGGATGTGGGAGCGTATTCCTCTGTGGAAAGATGCTATTTAGATTGGGGCTTTGGGATTCTCTCCCCTTTGGCTCAGCCTGGCAAGCTGGCTTTTGAGAGTTGCGGACGTACTTGGAGGGTCGGGGGACTCAGTAAGTAGTTACTTTAAAGACTTATAAGTACCATAACCCCAATTAGGATCCCTCTTAGGGTACCTATAAGTCTACTTACTACCTACTTACCAAGTCCCCCGACCCTCCAAGTACCGCTAGCTGGTTTAAGGTTTCGGCGCTTCTCGATTTTGTGCGTTTAGGGTTTAGGGTGCTCTCTCTGAGTCTCTTGAGGCAGCGACCACATTCTGCAGCATGTGGACAGGTGGAGCGGTGGATCGATCCAGGATTTTTACTACTTCCCGGTTTCAGTCTTTTTGTATTGTGGTACTGTAGCTTACATATGGGGATATCCGAAAATCGGGGACCCTCATCCAAGACCCTGTATTGTAGCATCCGTATGAAAAGGACCCCAAATACCCAGAGGCCCCAAAGTAGTTCCTTTTTGGGATTACCTTTTAGGATTCTATATATGAACCCCAGAAAGGAACTACTTTGGGGCCTCTGGGTAAGGTGACCCCAGAATAAGGTACCCGTATTCTCTACACACTTAATGTTGGATCCAGATTAACAAACCCCCCCCTCCCCCCGCTGTCAAGGTTAGCCCGCTTGAACTTGTTCATGGGTTCAAGTTTTTCCCGGCCCCCCCCGATTATGTGGGGATGGGGTGAATTATTAAGTATAGTAGTAAGTAGATAGAGAGTACTTAGTAAAGTATTGCAGTCGTACAATAGGAGTACAGTAGTATAGTAGTAGTACAGTAGTATAGTACTAGTACAGTAGTATAGTAGTATTACAGTAGTATAGTAGTAGTACAGTAGTACAGTAGTACAGTAGTAGTACAGTAGTATAGTGGTATTACAGTAGTATAATAGTAGAACAGTAGTATAGTAGTAGTACAGTAGGGTTAAGTCATAAGCCTCTAATTATCCTAAATCCTTACTTCGAGGATTTTCGGGGATGGCCCCGTCTAGTCGGGGGGGGTTTAGGCGAGCTCCGGTACTATTAGGGTGGGGTCTAATGGACTTCTTCATTAAGCCCATGACATGCCCGGGACGGCCCCGTCTAATCTGGGGGGGTATCTTAATCTGGAAACGACATTACCCTAAGGCTCCATGTACTATATACTTAGGCCTTAAAGGAACCTAATTATATAGGAACCCCCTTACGGCTTAAGTATCTACTATAAAGGTAGATGGAGCCTTTGGGTAAGGTAACCCCAGAAACCCTAAACCCTAATCTCTAAACCCTAAAACCCTAAACCCTAATCCCTAAACCCTAAATCCTTAAACCCTAAACCCTAAAACACTAAACCCTAATCCCTAAACCCTAATCCCTAAACCCCAGAAACCCTAAACCCTGAACCCTAATCTCTAAACCCTAAAACCCTAAACCCTCTCTCTCTCTCCAGGGCACTCAGTCGCTGTCAGGCCCCGCCAAACCCTAAACCCTAATCCCTAAATCCTAAACCCTAAATCCTAAATCCCAAAAACCCTAAACCCTATTCTCTACTTACCGATCCCCCCCCTTTTTGCGCCTGCTCCTCGAGATACTCCAGGCGCCCCAAGAGGTCCTCTGTCACCTGCCTGGGCCCCGTCTTCTCTTGTAAGGCTTGGTTTAGGGTTTAGGGTTTTGGGGTTTAGGGTTTCTCTTGCAAGGCTTACCTTAACCCAGAAGAACCTACCTTTTTGAGGACTTATATAAGGAAATCATAATAAGGATTCCTAACAAGGTAGGTTATTCAGGGTTAAGGTAGGGTTTAAGGGTTTAGGGCCCCTGCACCGACGAAAGGAAGAGAAACCAATGAAAAGAGGATCAGGATTTGGGCTAACGTTAAAACGCTACTTAGAGGATCATGGGACTTAGTAAGTAGGTTATAATTGGGGTTATGAGTCCCCTAAGTGGGGTTATCCTAATTATAACTTACTTATAACCTTACCTACTAAGTCCCAGGATCCTCCAAGTACCAGCAGCCTGAGCCGCGGCATGCTACAAAGCTCCTTTCTGAAGGCCTTGACTTCGGATTGGCCTTACAAGTAGCGACAGCGTCTCGGAAGGATCCTGCAAAATCCAAGTCTGCGGGGCTACACTACTCTTAGTGTTATTCTTGCTGTGGTTGTCGTTCCAGTATTACTACTGCATCAAAAAACCTACAACTTCGGCGGGTTTAGCAAGCATGGATGCTTTCGCATGGGACCAGGCCGACAGGATGTCCGGCTTCAGGTGCACATGTGATCGTGAACTAGCACGGGCATCAGTCAGACGAGCAGACAGTTCAAGCGTTGCGGCTGGGATTGCCATGGGATTTCTCAAGCAAGAGAGGACCCAGCATGCGACCCACCGCCAAAACCAAGGCCCCGACCGGGAAATGTCCTCCTGGAGGTTAGCGCAAAGGTCACGGAGCCTTGAGAACAGGCGAGGGGAGGAGTCTCGTGGTAGAGCATGAGCAGTTCCCATTGTAAGGTGTCAGGCTTTTACCGCAGTAGCGACAACCTTTGGGCCAAAACAACAGCATGTCCTGTCCGGGTTCACTTTGGTCTCTCAGCACGCGATTGAGAGCTGCAGCTTAAACCTTGCAGCAGTATCGTTCTCGCCACTCTCAGCTTGGCCGGGGACTGCCCATGTGTCTGGTCTATGTCGGCCATCTCGTTTCGCCACGTGGCCTTCCAAGTGTTTATATTGCTGAGGCTGGTGACCAAGGGTCTATTGGACTCGCGGTGCCCTTGAGTCGTTTAGGAAATTTTTGGGACGCAGCAGAAGGTATCGAGTGCAAAGGACGACGTGCCTTTCATCAGCAAACACTTGGCCCGTGCAGAAGACAAGACGTCTTTGCGAATACTGGGAAAAGGGACATGATTCGGCCTGGTTCTTACTGTCGTGGTTGGTTTTCCATCGAAGTCTAGCCCGAGAATGTGCAGAACAAGATGCTCCAAGGGGCAGACTCGGTAAGTTGCCCAACACCAGGCACCAATAGATCCGGATCTTGTATGCCAAGTTCGCCCCTGTTCTATATTCGGGCCCTGTTTGAGGCACGTGCTTGGCACCTCCATAGGTCTTACAGGATACCTATAGTCTCCATTGTAGATCCTTTTGGGGGTTACCCTATAGGATCCTTACTGTATAATCGGTAAAACCAAAAAAAAGGAACTACAGTGGAGACTCACAGGTCCCAATACCCCTTAATTCAGGAACATACCTTAAATTATAGTAGGATCCCTACTATGATTTAAGGTATATTCCTTAATTAAGCTAGGGGTATTGGGTTTTCTGGGGACTGTAGATAGAGTTTACAGTAAACCCCATAAAGTTGGAAACCGACTTGAGGCCAAATAGTGCTGGGGTTCCCTACACAGTACTCTTAGGGATTGAGGCTACGGGGTTTCCAACTTTCGGGCTTCTACTGTAAACCTCAGGAGCGGGGAACTCGGGATCGCCATGGGCCTGGAACTCGTCCAGTCCGTCTTCCAGGCTCTGCACCTGCAAGACTATGTAATCATGACGGGTTTAGGGCTTAGGGTTTAAAGTTTAGGGTTTAGGGCTTATAGTTTAGGGTTTAGGGTTTAAAGTTTAGGGTTTAGGGTTTAAAGTTTAGGGTTTAGGGTTATATTAAAACCACTATATCCCACACCCACACCCAACATGCACGCGCACATAACACGAAACAAACATGCGCACGCATAGCCAAACCCACGCACACATAAAAAACAGTCACACACACTCACGCACAGACATACAGACAGACATACACACATTGCATACATACGTACATACATCACATCACATACATACATACATACGTACATACATACATACATACATACATACGTACATACATACATACATACCTAATTACGTACAACGTACATACACACCTTATCACATACATACGTACATACATACATACATACATACATGCATGCATGCATGCATGCATGCATGCGCACATACGTACATACGAATATGCGAAAGTACATTCGCACATGCATACCTGCATACACGCATACATGCATACTTGCCTACATGCGCACATGCATGTTTGTGTGTATATATACATATATATATATATATACATATGTATATATATATATATATATATGTATATATGTGCATATGTATGTAGCTGTATATGTATACATACATATGCATTTATGCATATGCACATATAGACAAAAAAGCCTACAGACATACATACAGACACGCAGACAGACAGACGGACAGACCGGCAGACAAACAGACAGACAGACCGACAGACGGACAAACCGACAGACAGACATTCATTATACACATATGCTGGGTATGTGGCAAGAAACCTCTCCGCTGGCAGCACGTGGCGCACATTTCCGGAGGGGCCAGGAAATCCCACGGAGGCCTCTTACTCCCCAAAGTAGTTCCTTTTTGGGGTTCGTATATAGAATCCTATAAGGTAATCCCAAAAAGGAAGTATTATGGGGCCTCTGGGTACTGTACTGGCAGGTTCATACCCTGCCCCCCTTTTCAGGGTATCTACTTTTTCTTTCTAGCACATCCTAACCAAAAACACGAGGTATCCTACAGAAAGGGTAGGGTGTGAGCCTTTAGGTAGTTCTTTTTCTGGTTTAGCCAACTATTGTATAATATATTTAGGATCCGAGAAGGTATACACAGGTAAACCCGTAAAGGAACTACAACGGAGACTGTAGGTATAATTCAGGGGATGGATCAGAAAGCCTTTAACTATAGCAAGACTGTATATCTGATAGCTCCAAACCGAAAGCCATGCGAATTCCTAGGGAAATATTGAGGAGAAGTCCAGGGCAGACTTATGACATCTTGCAACTCAGCAGGAAATCCCCCCCTCCAAATCTTCCAAGTGCAGAACACCTGTTAGCCGCTTGCTGAAACGACCAGTTCCCGATAGGTGTCACGACACACTCTGTGACGAGATGCGCTGCGGCGGGAATTCAGCACTGGCCCCTTCCATCTCCGTCATTTCTTGCTCGTCTGCCTCCCTCCTAGGCGGCTGCAGGGCGTGCGGGAGACCCCAGGCGCTGACAGCAGCTGCCAACATGGCGCTCAGCAGGAGAATCGTACGCCCAGCCATGGAAGTGCTGAAGGCATGCCAAAACTGCAAAGAACAGCTAGTGGCCAAAGCAAGTCGCAGAAAGGAGCGCGACAGTCCAGCCCCCTTGTTGGTTGCGTCTGTGGGCAGCTGGACGCCAAAGCTCAGGCCAATCTCAAGTAGCATCGTGCTGCTCAAGAACGCAGCAACCACGCCCAAGCTGACCAGGGGAACCAGCGGACCCCAAATAATGGCAGTTTCCAGTAAGGTAGTGAAATACGCATGCTGCTGCATCGATGCCAGGGATCCACTGGCCTTCCTGCCGAGCAGCCGCAGCTGTCTGCCACCTTCGTCGAGGGTCCGCTGATCCTCCAGCTTGGATGCTTGCCAAGCCACGACCACCACAAGGGGCTGCAGGGTAATCCGAATCAACAGCTTCCTCAGGATTAGAGGTGATAAAGCTTGGATTACCGATCTGCTGCAAGAGCCTTCCCAGAGATTCCGACGATCTGCTCTACACATGTCTGTCGTGGTATTCAGGACCACGACGCCACTTGAGAGCGCCCAATTGAATTCAGCGTTCATCCTAGATTTCGGATCGCAGGCTGTCCACCACGTCCTATACTGAACTTAGAACCCTAGCAAAAATGTTAATTTTAGCTGTTTCTTAGGGATTTTTCATAACCACAAATTTCAAAACATATTTCTATTTACCCCTAAGCGTCTTCCACCCTGCCAGGCAGTTTTCCTGCAAAGTGAGTGCCGCGAGCAGCGGAAGGAGCCATGCCGCGCACGACCTCAGCGCCATCAGAAGTCTGTCCGCTGGGATCCCAGATACACCTCCCAGGGTCTGGCAGAGTTTTCGGGCTTCAGGGAAACATGTAGGATATACTCAGGTCAAAATGCTGTCGCGTACTTTTCCACGCCTCCTTCGTCGGATCAGGGGACAAAGCTCTACCAGCAATTTCCTCTACTTGATTTAATTGCAATGCCATATATACTGCTTGAATCGGATGCGCGAAAACACTATACCGAAGGTACGGGTATAGAGATATACAGGATGTGTAGGTAGCCGCTCTGTTCCCAAGACCCGGCTGCACCTCCATACCGGATGGAGAGCGGTGCTGCTAGCAGCATGTCGAAGGCGACAACTAGCGCGGGGGCCGTGTGGTGCGCCATCTCAAGGACAGAGTCGGGCACCAGGGTGTTGTCCTTCGGGAGGGCCTGACGGAAACACTGAAACTTAAAATTGACCAGCTCCGATGCCAAGGGTCGGGGTAAAGTGCTGCTGCATTCGCATGCCGCCCAGGACCCAAAACTCTTCACCAGACAGTATCACTGCTTGAGCCCAACCAGTACGCTAGACTCGGCTAGACTAGACTCTAACTACCTATAGTCTCCATTGTCGTTCCTTTTTGGGGTTACCATCTAGGATCCCAATTACATATTTTGTTAAACAAAAAAAGGAACTACAAGGGAGACTATAGGTAGACACCCGAAAGCCCCAGTACCGCCCACACTGCCAGAGCCGCCAGCTGCCTGAACCTTTAGCTTTGCTAGCTGCTGACGTCTCTTCAGAGAGGAGTTTGCAGCAAATCTCGTGAACATGTTCGAAACAACTTTAGGGCTTAGTGTTTAGGGAACCCTAAAGCCCTAAACCCTTAACCCTAAACCTCCGGGGCTGCCTGTGCCACAACATAGAGGATGGAAGGTAGCGAGACCATCGTGACGGGTACGATCCAAAGGAGCCATGCAAGCTGTCGTCTGACATGCCAGGACCTGTTTGGTGATCCTCTGAGGGCCTCACCTTACTGGCAAGACGGGGTAGGAAGCGAGAAAATACATCAACATACTACCGCTGAGGAGCAATTTGCACAGTATCAGCTCGGCTCATTCATGTGTGTGTAGAAGCAACCTGCTCCTGACAGCGAGCTCGTCTAGAATATTTGCAGCACCGGCAGCGTGGTTTCGGCAGAACAGCGACCGATGCAGAGAAGAAGAGAGTGGTGAAGCTCCAGACTAAAACCACGAAGAGCTCCTTACGGGCTGAGTACCCTACAGTAGAAGCCCAAAAGTTGGAAACCCCATAGCCTCAATTCTCAAGACTAATGTATAGGGTATCCCAGCACTATTTGGCCTTAATCCGGTTTCCAACGTTATGGGGTTTACTGTAAACCTTTGGAATTCTAGTAGGATTATCTAAACCCCAAAAGGTTAACCTTTTGAATTAGATACACCCCAAACGGTTAAAGGTTATCTACTCAGCCCCTAAGGTTCTGTTAGAGGCGACTCATCCAAGTAGGCCGCTGTGCTCCACGCAAGCGGCTGGCCACACTCGTAGTACCTGTCGAGGAAGGATGTCGTGCAAGGTAGGCTTTTGGCCTCAATAGCCCTTACTCTTTTGACTCAAGTCTAGCCGTCTAGCCAACCCACGATTGAGGCGCTGAACCCTGAGCCCTAAACTCTTTCTATAAGCCCTATACACCCCTATCCCAAAGGCTCCATGTACCCATATAGTAGATACTTAGGCCTTAAAGTACCCATATAGGGACCCCTTTAAGGCCGAAGTACCTACTATATGGGTACATGGAGTCTTAGGGTATGAACCCTAAGCACCGTGCCCTAAACCGTACAACCCTAAACTCTCGACACCCTTCGCAGCGGCAGGTCGAGACTTTGGGGTAGAAGCTTTCTAGGAGTAGGTCTAAAACTGGGACCACTCTTCCAAATATCTCCAACCCAGTGACTTTTTTATATGGTTTAGGGGTCAGAGATGTTATGCACATTTAACGGTTTCGGGTTTGGGATTTCTAAGTTTTCGGCTTTGGAGTTTCGGGTGCCCAGTTGTTGCTATATTGGAAACGAGCCCCCCGACATGATAGATGAAGTTTATCATGCCCAAAACTCGAACGTGGCACCGTGCGCCGTGGAGGTAAGCTGGCAGCAGTGGGGCGCAGAGCCCTGCAATCCACAGCGAAAGCCGCAGGCTCTGCATCCACGAGGCATGAATGTCAGGAGCAAGCACCTTTCACCCTAAACCCTCAACCTTAAACCCTAAACCCAAACTACACCCTATATCAAGGGCCTTGTTGAGATTACCCCCTGGCCGGATATCAGAAAAGGCCTGCAACAAGGACCCCCCCCCCCCGAAAAAAAAAGAAAGGAACCCTCCCTGTGCGGCACCGCTGTCTGTGGCAACCTGATGGAACCCGAACATGTCTGTGGCCTTTTGACAACAGATGCTGCTTGACGAAAAACCAATCCCTATCTGACGTCCGAGTGCCTCTGTACTTCCAGCTGTAGCTTGCCGCGATTGGCGGTAGATCACCCCTACAACCAGGAATGCGACCGGCAAGCCTGCCAACACAAGGACATTTCCCCACCAGATCGTGCTTGAGACATATAAGAAATCCTGCACTTCCGTCGGGCTCACCCAGTCTGCAGCGATGTTATCTCCTATGCCAACCATATTGCCCATTACGACAGTGGCACGCACGCCCTCGAGCCCCAGGCTTGCCGGCAGTTGGCAGCTGAAGCGGTTACTGTGCAGGGTGGCCTTCGCGGTTTTGGGTAAGTCGAGTCTGGGCACGGTCCCAGAGAAATGGTTACCATGCAGTGTGAGGAATCTCAGCCTGGTCATGTTCTGCAGTCTGGGCAGCGATCCCCGAAACCGGTTCTCATGCAGGGTCAGCACCATCAATCTTGCTGCACTACCCCAGTGGCTAGGGAATTGGCCCTCCAGGAAATTCTGATGAAGCGTGACTATTTCAAGCTTGGGAAGCTGTTCAGCAATCTCACGCGGGAATTGGCCGGCAAGCTGGTTTTCATCCAGGTTCAAATACGCCAAGGCCGTGAGGCGGCCTATTGTCCGCGGGATCGGGCCACTGAGCTTGTTCCTGGCTAAACCCAGCGTGAGGAGGTTGGTCATCTTCCCCACTTCAGGCGGGATCCACCCGGCGAGCTTGTTGCCAGACAAGCGGAGGTGTCTGAGGCTTACCACGTCACCGATCTCGCTGGGAATAGGCCCAGCAAGCTGGTTGTGCGTCAGTAACCTTGGCTGAGTTCTGCATCCTTCATAAAGCGTAAGCGCTAAGCCTCCATATCAAAAAGATCCAAAAACTCCGTATCACAATACAAGTAGAAAGCCAACGAGATTTAACGTCCCCTACATACCTGGTACGCGCCAACCACAAGCCAGCCAAACGACAGCTCCTGCAAAGCAGTCAGCCGGCCAATGACGGGCGGGATCGGGCCGGTAAGGTTGTTGTCAGAAAGTCGCAAGTACTGCAAGGAAATGAGACGGCTGATTGTCATCGGGATCGGGCCGGTGAGCCTGTTGCCACTCAAATGAAGCGTGACGAGGTCGGTCATGTTTCCCACTTCAGGCGGGATCCGGCCAGTGAGCTTGTTGTGACTCAGGTCGAGAAGCGTGAGGCTTGCCATGTGGCCCATCTCGCTGGGAATGTGGCCAGCAAGGTTGTTGTCAGAGAGGAAGAGGTTTCTGAGGTGCACCAGGCTGCCGATCTGAGTAGGAATCTCACCAGTGAGCTGGTTTTCACGGAGGTTCAGGACCCGCAAAGCAGTGAGGTTGCCAAGCTCAACCGGGATGCTGCCCTTCAGCTGCTTTAGTGGGGCCCAAATGCGCACCACTCTTCCATCCTCAACCTCTACGATCAGTTCCGTGTCGTTGTCCCTGGCGCCCATGTCAGAAAGAAGTTTGAAGGCAAGGTCCTGGGTTGTAGGGCAGAAATATTCATGAATATACTTCTACAGGAACCATCCTACCGTTCCTCAAACCCTAGAGGGAAAATGAAAAGCTTCCCAAAGTACCACCCATATACACCCCTTTCAGGATACCTAAATCCCTGATATACCCTTATAGCATCCCTCTCAAGGATCCCTTTACAGGTAATCCGCCACCCAGGGTCACGCTCATCTTCTTCGGCTCTGACTCTGGCTGACCACATACAAAGCCACAGGAGGAGATGGAGCTGCGGCATGGCAGTAGTATACGGGCCTTAATAATTAGAATAGGGTTTCCGGGATAAGCGTGCTATAACATAGGGCCTTAATAATTACAGTAGGGTTCTTTAAAGGGCTCCTTTTTTGGCATGTTTTTCGGGATCTATAAGGTTGCTATAATATAGGGGCATAAGGGTGCTATAATATAGGGGCCTTAATAATTAGAATAGGGCTCTTTAAAGGGTTCCTTCAAGGGATGTTATAATGGATCTATGAGGGTGCTACAATATGGGGGCCTTAATAATTAGAATAGGGTTTTGGGGCCCGGTACACTATAATGATAACAAGGAACCCCCCCCAAAAAAATAGTATACGTCGTATAGGTAATTATTAAATATTAGTAAGGCCCCTATAGTAAACGATTCAAGCTGAGCCGTACAGAACAGGGTGTCTGGAACGTCGTTACGGAAGCTTCGGATAGAGTGAGACCCTCGACTACAGCTGCTTGACCAGCCAAGCTGTTTCCAAGCCCCAAGATATAGGAAATCGGCGATGGCTTTAGGGCTTCGTAGGTTGAATGCTGGTGCTTTCCGATTAGGATTGATTGATGGTTTAGGGCTGTAGGGTTCGGGCAGCGGGTCTGCATTCCGGTTAACAGATAAAAGAATTCAATCCAGCTACATGTGCTGCAGCGTTCCCCTGTGTCTTTGCCTAATTCAGTGGTGCAACGGTGCAATTGGCCTGAATCGTGTCACTGTGTCACCAATGCTGCTGCAGCTGATTTTGAGAAATTGTAAATTAACAGTTTAGCTCTAGCCCTTGTTTTTTTGAGTTGTGGTTTTCTTTCGCAGAGATCTTGAAAACCACATATATCTGTGCTGACTTCGTTGAGGGGTGCCACGAGTTCAGTTCTGAGGGGGCTTGCGGATCAAGGACATGTGCAGAGGGCTTCGGCTCACACGCCCGCGCAAGGCAGGCACGGCCTTAAACTGAAATTAAAGAGTTCGGGGTTGCTTGCTTGACTTAAGAACGTAAAACCCTGGAGCCCCAAATGCACCGACCCCCTTCAACCCTGAACTCTGTGGATTGCCGCGCAGCAATACGACGCGACCCCCTGCATCCGGAACCCCGTAATTAATGTAAATCAAACGGTTTTGAACCCCCAAATGCAGGCCCGAATTTCTCACTTCACCCGAAATTCGGAACTTGAAACACCATCGGTAAGCCAACGTTATAGGTTTCGAAATTCTCTTTCCTCCTCCAAACCTGAAATCCCGAAAACCGTAGGTCTGACTCCTACTTGTCGGGTATCATGGGTAACTAAAGATTAACCTTTTTGGTTAAAATAGGGATTATATCGGGACTATACTACCCCAACAAAATTCAAAGGTTACCTACTCTACTACTAGGGAGTCCGTCCCCGGCCCTGGCAGTCGTCTTGGACACCGTCTCGCCCAACTGGGTCATCTGCAGCCCAACCTGCACAGCGTGAGGTGCGACTCTGTGCAGGTTCCGAATGCTTCGGGAACTACCCATATAGGCACCATATAGTAGTTCCTTCTGGGGGGTTCATATTTAGAATAATCCCAAAAAGGAACGACTATGGGGCCTGTGGATAAGCTTAATTGCGATTTGTCGCTGGCTGCGTCTCTCCCATTTGAACAGAAAACGCTAAACCTTGTCATGAAACCTAAACCGCAAATCCGGAAATGCTTCAGTCACAACAGCCGAGCACAGAGGACACCTTGGCCGAACGGCGCCAGCATGTCCGGATCAACCCTCAACCCCGAACCCTGGACCCCTACCCACAGGCCCCATAGTAGCTCCTTTTTAGGATTCTAACTATGAACCCTAAACAGGAAGTACTCTGGGGCCTATCGGTAAACCCTTTCAAACTTGAAACCTTAAGAGCTGTTCATTACTGGAGCGCCTGTGGGGCCTATAATTATAGTACCTGTAAGCTCATGCCTACCCCTCTTTTGGGGTATCTACTTTTCTATACAGCAGATCCTAAGCATAAAAATAGGTATCCTGAAACAGGGGTAGGGTCTGAGCCTCCAGGAAAGAAGCCTGTTGGAAAATCATTCTCCTCATGGCCTTTTGATGAGGTAAAGTATAAGGAATCCCATCAACAAATCATCCTAAGTCTGCGTTCTAACTGTCTGAGGTTCACTGTGTATCCTCCTCAAATCTCTAAACCCGAGAAAACGCCTAAACCGTACAGGGTTATGTTTGGGGCCTATTTTACAATAAAGCCCAGAGGTTGGAAACCCAATAGCTTCAATCCTTAAGAGAAAAATAAGGAATCCCAGCACTAGTTGTCCTTAGTCAACTTTCCAACTTTCTGGTGTTTACCTGCAGGGTTTTGGTGTATATTCCACTATACTTATAACGAGGAACCCCAAAAATAATACAGGTAAATATATTCAGGCCCCTACACAAATCTGTGTAATAGCCCTTACAGTAGCCCTTAAAAAGACCCCTGTAAAGCAACCCTAAACCCCACTGAATCCCTAAGGCCCCTAAATTCGGGCTTCATTGCTGCCGACTGTTTGGGGCAACTTCCGCCTCCCGGATCTTCTGATCGACGTCTTCAAATCGGGGCGAAGTTGCAGGAGCCGCCTCGTTCGGGTTTAGGGTTTTAGGGGATTCGGCGCTCACACTCGGACAATCCAGGCGAGGTGTTTTAGGTCGGAACTTAACGGGGCTTGACAAATTGGAGCAAGGCTTTGGGCTCTTTTACGGTCCATTTGCAGAGAAGGGTTTGCAAAGAGGCCCATTACCCATAGGCCCCATAGTAGTCCCAATTTTAAGTTTACATTACTGGGTTCTAAATCTGAATTAGAAAAGGAGCTACTATGGGTCCTAGGGGTAGGGTTCCTCTAAGGGGTCCTTAAAAGGGGATCTATATAGGGGATACTATAGTAGGGTTCTATATTAGGGGCCGTAAGGTGGACTGATCTGACTGACAACCACTGGGATGCGTCAAGCACAGCACATTGTCTGTTCCTAAGTTCCTCTCAAAGGAGTCTATATAAGGGTTACTATAGGGGATCTATAATAGGGCCCCTGTTCGTGAACAAAGGAGTGCGGCGTACTGATTCCTGAAGTCCTCGCGCAGCGTCTTTGCGCATGGACGATGTGCAAAAACGCCGGGCACTGCGGTCGCGATTAAGGGTAGTTTAGAGTTTAGGCTTAAGGGTAGCCAAGTTATTTCGGGCTTGCAGGTGTTAAGTCCCGGCCGGACCGGATGTAACGCTGTGGTCTCCAGCCTGCTCCGGTCTTGGAACATAGCCGTGGCGGATCAAATCCTCAGCAACACCTTGGCGCGACGCATTCAACTGCCCAAAGGGTGTTGTGAGCATCGGGACTCTCAAGCTCAGGCCACACTACTCAACATCAAGGACAAGCTACGGGGATGTCTTTGAAAGGCATCATTGAAACCTGAATACCTGGTGCCTCGTCAAGGGCTGGCAGAAACCCTAGAAAAGCCCCACGTAGCCCTTAATTACTTCCCGAGTCCTTTCAACACTAAAATACACCAATGCTACAAAATGTTGCAAACCCCTAAGCCCAAAACACAACAACCCTAAGCCCTAGGGTGCCTGCGACTTTCTGGTTCAAGTCTTTCTCGCGCTCCTCGGTCCGCGCGGCACCCTCCGCGAGCATGGCAAGACGCGACCTCGGACTTTGACGTACACATTAAAAACGGTTTAGCGTTTAGGGTTTAGGGTTTAGGTTTAGGGAATTCTTAAGTTTCGGATGTTGGATTTTGGGTGTTCGGGTTTAGGAGAGGGCAAGAACTGGGAAGTTACGATTGAATCCTGGGCTTGGTAATTAGAAACGTGTGGTTGCAAGGGCTCTTGACCTATGTGTCAACCACAGAGGCGTGTTTTTGCTGCAGGAATCTGTGCGAATCGAGCCGCATGACGAAGAGCATGTGGATTGTTTATCACAGGCTTGATTTGCTGCTCACCCGACCAAATTCCCGGCAGCACATCGCACTCGTGGCGAGATGCGAAGAAAAACATCCTGGACTTTGCAGAAAATCTTCATGCATGCAGAATTCCAGTGGATAAAATTAAAAAATATTACTGTACCATTTTACACCACCAAGCATGGCATATGGAGCTCCTGAATCGGACGACTTTCGATACAATGATTGACATTGAACCCTACGATTTGCACCAGTCTTTCATCATGGAAGTCTCGAAGCTTCAACAAAACCCCTGTAAGCCCTAAACCCCATGCCTCCTCGATCCCAGGGATATCCTGAGGACAGGTCTCAATTCCTGCAAATCGGCCCTCTGCACGAACCTGGCTCACGGACGGGAAACTGGCATTGGTAGCTTTCTTACATCCCCGACACCGCATGGCTTCAAAGGCTTAGAGTTGCGGGGCTTGAGAAATTCAGGCTACTAACATCTATCGATCGACGCTGCCTATGCCTGGCATGGCGATTTGTAGTAACGGTATGCTGGAGATTGAAGACCTGGAGATCTCAGTTTCTTTCAGTGTTGAAGCTTGCGCATTCCATTATGGCCGAAACCGTGACTGACTGATAGGAGCCGGATGAGCCACTTTAGGAGGTACTACAAACAAGCAAGCATTCAACACAGGAAGTGTTGACCACGAGCTGCATTACTCCAGAGATACTGCAACACGACATCTAGGAGATGTTCTTTACACTTAGCCTTGGCTGTCCGCACATGCCAGAGCACAACATTCATTTGCCTAGTGCCGCAAGAAGCACTGTTGAACTAAGATTGTAGCGGATTTCACTCTAGCAGCTAGCATCGCGCACTCCTAATTCAAACAGATCGGCCAATTGACAACAGCAACCATATCTCGGAATGCCTGACCAATCCACACATGGGTAGTTCTCGGATGCCTCGAAACTGCCCTTGCTTATTTATTTATATATATATATATATATATATATATATATATATTATATATATGTATATATATATATATATATATATATATATATCTGTGTGTGTACATACACACATACACACACACATACACACACGTA